GAGTGCTCCCTCGACGATACTGCAGGTGGTACTGTTTGAGAAGATCGTATAAAAATGCCCAAAGGGACAACAATTAAGCTCCCTGAGAGAAGAATGGGAAGCAGGAGGAGTGTGATCCTGGCTGAGGAATGGAATTGGAGAGGTGGCTTTACTCCCTGTAGCCTTCCTATGTAGCTTTAGGGTTATGTCACATGAAGTCATGTTTTTAAATGTATTTAGGGCTTAAAGATGCAGGTGAGTGCCTTTGGTTAAACTCCAAAGCCTCTAAAAATGGCAGTTGAATAGCTCCCCAGCTTTGAGGACAAGAACCTGTATCTTGGTTCTCCATTTGCACAGTGGAAGTACCTGTGGCTCTGCCGTGGAGACGGGTGCATCAGAGCCTGTGGCATGCCTGGGCACTGCCGGGGTGATAACTCTCCACAGCCCTGCAGGCAATAAGTTATCTCTTTGCTTATTTGCCTCCGTGCTAACTAGTGTCCAGCCTGTGCTGGCATGCCATGAGGCACTGATAGTGATGGTTTTCAGCAATTGAGCTTCAGGCTGTGAGGTTACTGATTCGTTTCCTTCGCCGAGATGAGTAGGAGTAGGCAAGAAATTATGTGTTCGTGTGTGTCCTTGTTCATTTTCCCCCACTGTGAAACATTAAGTGGTGACTGAATACAAAATTTCCTTGCCCCCCGTTTGTTCTTACAGGACTTACATAGGAGTTAATTGCCAAAAAGGGAATTTTGTGATGCAACATTATAAGGGATAACAAAGCCCGTGTGGGGGTGGAACAGTTTGAAATGCTGTCAAGTCCAAAGGATGCTACTCTAATAACAGTCCTCCTTCTTTGGCAATAGGGAGCAGGCAAAATAATCTCTGATGTAATGCTCTGATTTGGGATTTACAGCTTGCAAGCCAGGGTTTAGCAGCTCAGCAGATTGGGATTACAGAATCAGCAGCAGAGAGAAATATTGTTGCTTGAAATTGTGATGTGGTTTTATAAACTTCCTTCTTTTGCAGATTCGGTTAAACAGCAGAGGACTTATCTATTCTGTTGGTCTCCTGCTGGCATCGGTTTTTGTCACAGTATGTATAGTCTTTTGTTCTTCTTTTCCAAAAGAGTGATTTTTACAGACATTTTCTCCACCTGTTCCTTTCTCACCTCCAGCTGTAATAGTGATTGCAAAGTCTGTTGTTAAGGGATAGGAATGGTCACTCCTATTGTAAACTCCAGACCTTAATCTGCGCTTTGCAGAAGCTATCACTGTCACAAGGTGGCTCTCATATTTGTATATTTTTCATGGGAGGAGCCCGGGAGATCCATTAGCAATCATTAGTTATTTTTCATGCTAGAGTTGAAGTAGATCCCTTGATGTGTGATGAGATCTGTTCTCCTGTTGGACAGGTAGACAAAATGCTGTACAGTTTGCTTTGGCCCTCTGTAGGAACCTTCTGAAATACACCACAGACCAGAAATAGCGCCTGGACATGACGATTGAAATCAGTGCCTCGTGTTCCCTGACCTGTCCAAGTCCAGCATAGCAGACTAGAAATGATAGAGAGAAGAGGATTTATGTGACATCTTCCAAATCTTGAGACCAGCTGCTCTAGGGAGTCCTCCCGTGCATTGTACACCAACACAGTTCCCATGTACACAAGACTTCAGTCTTTTAAGAGGTTTGTGGGGGAGCAAAGTAGGCAAAGCCAAGCATAGCCTTAGACTGTGTGAGATGCAGAGGGGCACATGAGGCATTTTGAGTGAAGAAAAAGGAATCTGGCCTTTGAAAATGTTTCTGATTGAATTAAATGGGATTATTCTTGCCAAAATGAAATTAATTGCAGAAATTAAGGCCCTTGGGCCAGGACTCGAGGTGAGGTAAGTCAGCGTGGCTTCAATGACTTGAGAGGGGACTACTCTGATTTACTTCAGCTGTGGCCTTCAGCTCCTTTGTTGTGGTACTTGCATTGTGATTGTTTCCAGGTGACCCTGATCAGTAAGGGGACAGTCACCTTCCTGCTCCTGTAATTGAGAACGTGATTTACCACTTTATTCGAAATGTTCCTGCTGTGGTGCCTTACTCTGTGTTTATTGTAGGTGTTCGGCGTCCACATGAACAAATGGAAACTGGATAAGAAGCTAGGGTGTGTGTGCCTTTCCCTTTACGGCATCTTCCTGTGTTTCTCCATCATGACAGAATTCAATGTTTTCACTTTTGTGAACTTGCCAATGTGCAGAGATCACTAATGCAGGTGGCAGACTGTTGGGAGGAACTTCCTTCTTACCTGTGCAATACAAACCACGGCTGGCATCTCCTGAATGCGGTGCATCTCCAAGTCGTGACATATATCCTGTTCACTGTTCATAGGACCCATGGCCCCATCTAGGCCTGCCCTCTCCCTGACCCTCCACAACCTGGAAAAATCCTGCATCGATGTGAAGATCATTTTTTTTCACCATTCATGTGATTTCCTAGCTCAGTTCTTGAACAGTGTGACTGGGGCTCTAGATGAACTGGCTGCTAACTGGCGTCAAGCCAGGCAAAACTGGTCTGCTACAGTTCCTTCTTTTTTTTTTTTTTTAAGTTATTTGATGGAAGACTAATCTAATTTATGACTTAAGACTATTGCTACAATGCAGAAGAGGATACATCGTACAGGGGCTGATTTTCAAGGATAATCATGGGAATTTTTTTGGTTGGTTTTTTTTTAGTTTTTTCAGGGGGGAGGGGAATTGTGGTTTTATTGGGTTTTTTTTTTTTAATTGCCAGAGATGAACGTCCTCCCTTGCAGCTTCTCCTTCTGAGCGCTGGGTCTCCTGTAACGATCCAAACGTCACAGGGCAGTGTAATATGGGAATACAATCCAAGGTACTCGGCATATGGATGGATTTACTGCATATTAAAAGAAGATTGCAAGGCAACAGATGATGACTTTTACCATAAATAGTGAATCTTGTACAGGTGTGATGAGGAATGCAAGGTAAATGTGGATCCAAAGGGTAAACACTGCAACCATTTTACTACTAACCAACGTTGGAGTTTTATTACTGGGGTGTTTGTGGTATTTCCAAGCAATAGTTTGATGGCCAGCCCAGGAGGGCTACCAAGGAGGTGTCCTGGTTTTTAACAATCTGCACATGGAAACGGAAGGTCAGAACTTTCTCTGCTTCGTCAGATTTCTTGTTTTGGGGGGATTCAATAGTTCATGTCTTATCCGTTCTGAGAAGGACATAAGTACGTGTCGGACCTTTTCTAAATGAGTTACAGACACTGGTTTCTTTAAAAGGAAAGAGGCATATTTTGCACAGACATAGTTGCTGAAGTCGTAATTTGCCACTCTTTAAAGAATACACTGGACCTGGCCAGATATTTGTTGTCTTAAGCAGGTGAACTTATCTGATAACAGATCATGTGGATTCATCACCCCTCCTTTGGGAGGGAGGAAGACACAGAGAGAGATGGCACTTTTTAAAATGTGGAATATCTTCAACGCAGACTCGCTCACAGATCTTAAGTTATTGTGAAAGTTTAGCTATTCATTGTTCCAGTATCCCTGCTAGATTTTGTATAATTCTGTATTAATATGCAGGCAGATTCCACCCCATGAGAAACACCATCACAGCTTCATTTGTATGTATTGATACTGTGGATTCTTGCCAGTGCTGGCTCTTGTATTTACTTTAAGCACTGATCACTTCCGATTCATTTGGTATGTTTTTTCCTCTTTCTTGTATATGTTCTACTATGAAATGTATTAAGATACTACCAGCTAGGTGAATGGTTTTGTCTATGGTACAAACAGTGGCAAATATTGGTAGTAAAGGCACAGAAAACCCTATGTAAAAGAAAGAAAGGAAAAAAAAAAAAACCAACACCAAACCCGAAACTATAGCAGGAAAAAAAAAAACATCTAACTAAAAAAAAAGCGCCCTGTTCACAGACAGAAAGCCATTTTTTTATTTCATTTGCACTCTTGGAAGCAATTTCTTCAGTTTCATTTTCTTTGGGCAAAATGTTGTAAGTCAAACTATTTACACCCTGTGGTTTCCATTCAGCTCAGCACCTGATTTTCTTTGTTTGTTACACCAAGTGTGTGGAGGCACTGGCAGCCGTTGCACCGTGGGTGTCAAGAAAGTCCAGTGGAAAAGGCTGTGTACCGCTGGCCTGGGTGAACAGTGTGCTTGTGGACCCCTGGCCAGAAGGAGGGGCCCGGGGACAGGCAGTGGGGGCCGTCAGTGACATGCCTGCGTCGTCATTTTTCATTCTGGAAAAAAATTGTGTTGCTACTTATTGAGCTATGCAGCCTGTTGTTTGAGCAGCCGTCTCGTAACTGCGCCCGCTGGAAGTCCTCTCGTGTTAGGAAGCCCGCTGAACCTTCCTGTTGTTGGTTTTTCTGTTGCTGCCATTTCTTTTTTTTTTGTTGTTGTTAAGGAGATTAATAATAATAATAATAACCACTAAAATGCCTAAAATACTTCCTTAAATCAAACAACGTTAGCAACGATATGGCACATTTCGCTAAATCCACCCCCCACACAGAGCTATACTCTTGTAGCAAGATGCAGTTGCTCCTAAGCAGAGTGTTTCCTTGCTGACAGAAGGGACAGATTTGGGGAAGAAAAAAAAAAAAAGAGAAGTTTCACATCAGGGCCTATTATTGCTTCTATTTTGAATATTTATACTGCTGCTCCAATGGAGCCAGTTGGATCTATTTCTACGAAATAGCCGTTACCTATCCCATGGCACAAAAACTGCATGAGTATTTTGTAGGAACTTTTCCTATTGGTGTGCGTTAAATACTGTAGTATATTGTAGCTTTGCATTGTGTGTAAAACCTGAAATACCTTGTTTTGACACTTGTGTGTTGCACAAGAATGTTCTGCAAGTTGTTTGTTTTAAGCAGAAGCAAAAGGTACGTTGAACTGCCATTTCTGTGCCATATATGAATTGATAAGCACTTCCTTTATTGACAGTTTCAGCGAGATGTGCTTACAATTTGCAACCAAATCAACCAGTACAGACCTGGTTTGGAACAGGATAGACCAACTGAATGTGTGCATTCTTGGTTTTGTCTCCAAAGAGAGAGCCTCTTAAGTTTGTTAGCAGAATCAAAGCCTGTGGAAAAGTCCCCAAAGCAAAAAAAACTTGAGCAATTTTTAGCATCCTTCCTGTATGGCATCTCCAACAGTCACATAGTTCCATTCAAATGCAGTGCATATTAATAGCTTTACTTTATCGAGCCAAGCAGAGGGCAGTATCTGAGGGGTTCTCTCCTCCCGACGCTGGATTCTGGGAGCCGCCTGCTGGGGGGGGGGGACAGTGAG